AATCAGTAATCTCTTCTATCCAATTGGAGCGCATATCTACTCTCTTCTCCCTGCTTTTTCTGGATAATGCATGGTGCTGTTTTATTTTCTCTTATTGCCACCATTTTTGTTAGAGTTTTCTGTAATGTCCATCTACTAAAATCTGTTTGACAAATGATTACTTGTATTTTGAGGAAATTATCCTCTCTCCCCTCTACTTTTTCTTTCTAATTTCTCTTTTAAATCTTGATCTTAGTCTTTTTCAAGACTTCTTCAGGCCTCTCACAATTAAAGGTTGGTTTGGAAATATGCAATTGGTAACTGACCAATAAAATGGTTTTAAGCATTTATGATATTTATGTAGGGAAAAGAAAATGGATAATTTTCTCAGAAATTTCAATACCCTAACCAAACCCTGCAAAAACCAACTAAAATTCAATTCATCCCAAGTTATATAAATCAAAATCATGAAAGAAGAAAGAGTTTAACAACAAGTAAAAAGACTAAGAGAGAATTAAGAAGTATTCATAATAATGATATCAGGTCATCAGATATTTTACTGAAGTGTTCAAGTCAGGTGAATAGTTTGCTAAATGAGGAAAATTTGAGAAGGTTAGCCAATATCACCAGAGAGAAGAATAGACCTAGAACAGCAAATCGTTCTTTTTTGGAAATAAATATTGATTTTCTTCCTGAAAATTTCCTGAAAAGAGATGTTTTTGTTTAAGATTAAGGAAAAAAAAATCAATTAACCTTACACTGTTTTTTTCAACAAGTTTTTCACAACAAGTTGGTCACATAATGAAACTTTAATGAATTTCCAATGTTTTCATATATAAAACATGGCTTATTTTAGTGTTGGAGGTAAAATTAGCAGAAAATTCTAAAAACAGGAATTGCACGAGAAATTTCGTCTGTGACTATGCTTGATGCAGCTAGGTCTTTTGTCTTTTGCTTTGATGCTTCAACTCCACCAGTTTTCAGAGTAAAAAATGAATATTTTCTAATAAAGAATTCAATTGTAAAGTTTTATCAACAAACTTGTTATATTGATATTTCACATAGAAGATGTAAATTTATTGATACAAGTCCTTTTTGTAAAAATACTTTGAAATAAATTATTTATTAAATGTCAAATAAATTTTCAAAGGCATATTTTTTATTGAGTAATTGTCTGTACGTTTTGAATAATTAATAGACTCAGTCTCTCCTCCCTCCAACGTCTGACTGTTTAATTATCATATTTCAATATTTAATTTGAAATAGAAATATATAAAAGACAATATTTGGAGCAGAAAAATAAAAGTTCTCCGAAATGTCGACATTTATGTCAATTCTTTGTTTTTTAACAATATATTTAAATATCTCTAATTGTTGTATAAATGGTTTAGAATCAATAGGTAAAGTATTAGAGATTTTTTGTTTAATGTTTTTATATTCTAACTTTCTTTTAAAAATTTATAGATGGAAAATTTATTAATATTGCTAATGTGAAAAATATGGCAACATGTAAAGAATCTTCAACCTATAATAATAATTATAAATGTGAAAATGCTTTGAAGCCTAGATGGACAAGTGCAATGGAGTGGATATCAAAATGTAATCCAAACTCTTGCCATAGGCAATGGATAATTATTCAATTTAAAAAGGAATATGACATTATTCAAATGGGTTTTCATCAAAGAGATATGAGTAACACATTAAAAACATCAAAAATAACAATTTCTATGGGAAATTATACTGTCAACTGCAAACTTAACTTGTATGAGACAAACATTTTATTTGACAGTAGGACTGGAGTAGCCATTTTAAGTGTAAAATTACAGAATTTTAAAGACGATAAAGCTATTGTAAATTATGGATTTCCCGCAGTTCTTATATTTTCATATGATGGTAAAAAAAATACTAATTAATTAGTTAAAAACAACCTTTTATACTTAAATTGTATTAATATTTTTTTATACAGTAGAAGCAGTTTAAGATGATTTGCAATATAAAAATATAGCTGTTGAAAGTCAAGGAGCAAGTTGTATTGCATCTACAGGCAATTGTTACCTGGCAATTGATCAAAATATCCATAAGAAGTGGATTGCAGACTGTCCAGCAGGAAATAATACCCGATGCAAAGGACAATTTATAAATGTTACATTTGCCATTCCTTCAAAACCAGACTTGTTATGCATTGCTAACGCGTAACATTTATTTCATAATTTTCTCTGTTTACAGAACTCTGTATTATAATTATTTCTTTGATGTTCAATAGGCGAATCGATGAGACACAAACTAAACTTCTATCAGTGAAGTGGAGCTCTGGGTATTCTCATTCATTTTTACTTCCAAATAGTAGAAATAGACAATGCATGAACTATAGTGGAGAAGCCACCATTGAACACTGGATTATATTAACAATTGAAAATGGCTATTCAAATAGGAAAATTGGTTTAGATTCAATAGATGTTTTTATAAAAAGTGATGAAAAACAACTAATCATTAAAATAATTTTTTAAATTCTTAACTTTTCAGAAAATCAAGAAGATATTTTTTCTATTCAACATACATTTTTTGTTCATTACTATGTACAGAAGTATTTGTTTAACAATTTCACTACACTGAGCTTCCAGGTTAGAGGTCAAGACAGGAATGGTAATGATAGTTGTTCTTCTATTGAACTTTATCTTATTAACAATAATCAATCATACTTATCATTAAAACTCGAAATGAGAAGTGGAGACACTGATATTGAAAATTCATATTTAAAACTATCACATTTGAATACAAACATTGTTCAATTCAATATTTCGCATTTTGTGACTGATTGTAAGAATTGGAGTTATTTTTGGTTTGAATTTGCAATTGGACAAGTTAAATTTGGTTTTGGACCACCAATAGCAACATCAGTAAATTACGTTTCAATTGAGGAAGACTATTTTGTAAATGTGGATCAAATCTTGTTTAAAAATCTTGTTAATGACACTATCAATGATGTTCAAATTAATCACAAAGGTTCTTGAACAAATTACTTTTTCATTAAGTTTGTAAACTTTATCTCCTTCAGGTGGAAGAAGAGTTACTATTTTGAATACTACTGAATACCAGTTTTGTGCATTATACAACTTCTTTAATGTGTTTATCTACACCTGTATACCATTCAAATCAAAACATTCATATCTCCAATTGAAATTGGAGAATGATAGATTATTAAAGATAAATCTTTTAAATCCAAAGATTTTTATCAATAAAGAATTTTCATTGAAAGAAGATTTTATTAAAACTTTAAATGATTCTCTAAATTGGAATGATTTGAAAAACTTTAAAAGGTTTTGTATATCAGAAATGGTTAATATCAGACAATTAAAAACAATAACATTAATTTGTAAAGTGTTGAAAAGTATTAAAAAGAAATCTATGATATTTAATTTAGAAAATATGGTTGAAAATTTATCATGTGATTTATATTCTTCTGATTTGCTAAAATAAAAAGCTAATGGTTATTGAATTCAAAAGGGAGAAATCTTTAAAAAAAACAGTCATTTTTGTTCAAAAATTCTATTATGAATGTTTCTTTTAGAAATTATGAAAGCATTCTAAAGTTCAATGATTGTGCAAAGAAAAAAACTCTTCTATTCCGTTCATTAATTGTGTTAACATTATGAATTTTATTGTTTTCTTCTATTAGAATCCCTTCCAATTAGAATAAAGATTTTAATCTTGATCTTGTTTTTTGAGTCAACCGCAAAAAATTTACTTTTCTTTTTTAACCAAAAGTAATGGTTAACGATGGTTGTTGCGTCATATGGAAATATACAAAATATTCAAATCAAATTTATATATGATAAATATATGAGTTAAAAAATAAATAAACAATGGCAGTTGGAGTTCTTTGAAAAAATCACAGCCAAAATACAAATGTTAGATATGTGGATGATCTAATTAAGTGTTAATATGAAAAAAATACGGTTATTAAATATAAATATTAATAAGTTGCTGGTGTTTTAGTGAAGAGTGATATTTAGTGGAAAATTTTTAATAATCTGTTATTCTTTACATCTGAATGAGAATAATAGAGTGGAAAATATGTTCTTTTATATAAAACTGTATAAGTACGAAAGAGCTAAAGTTTTAATCACTATTAAATATGAAGTCGTGTTTGGTTTTGCTAGTCTATTTTACATTGAAAACTTTTAGTAGTGGCAATTGTTCAACTGAGCCGTTTGGTGGCAATTCTGAAATTGAAAAACATAGGATAGAATTAATAAAACTTGGAAAAAAATTAATTAGGGTAAATGTTCTATTTATTTTACATATTGTTCTATTTTTCATTTTCTTTGCAGGAGGATCTTTGGGGGGAAGATGAAAGGGCAATAAGCACTTATCAAGTTCTGTATGAAAAAGCCTCCATTGAAAAGAAAACTTTTATAATTGTTCGAATTTTTATAGAACAATTAATAAATGAGAAAACGAATACACAAAGTTGTTTAAACAACAAAAAATTGGATATAATTAAACTTTTTATAGTTAGATCAGAAAAGTTATTTTCTCTCATTAAAATGCAGCATTCAAGAAAAAGAATAGCTGTAAAAAATTTGAAAAATTCTGAATATTTGAAAAAGCTACCAAAGTGCTTCATTTTCATTAATCGAATTACTACGGCATTTGAAAGTTTTACGTTGTGAATATATCTTTTATATTTACGTTACGTTTATTTTTTTTTTGGTTGTTGTTGCTTTTTAATATTCATTTGTGCATAAAAATACATCTGACGAATGTTTGGTTAACCATATTTTCGTATTGATATTTCCGCAATAAAATAGGCCTAATGTGGTTTTTATAGCTAATTTAAATATTATCCAGATTGCTACATTCAATTTAACTAATCATTAATTCATTTAGTGGAATCTAGCTTTTTAATAAATCGTAGGCCTACTACCTTTATTTAGACTGTATTTTAATTTTGGAACATCTAGCGCCATCTACTAGATAAATATAATTGAATTGAGAATTTTCTGATTGAATTTATTTTTCTATTATACTAATATTTATTTATAAACAATTGTTATGCAAAAAATTATTTAATACTAAAAAAAATGGCGACAAAGCAAAACACAAATGCCAACATAACGTATTCTTATTGACACTCGATAGTTTTCGTCTATTGATGTCAATTATCTAACATATAGGCTTTCGGCCTAATCAGTTGAATTCTCCCGTTAATGATAACCATAAATAATGATTGATAAATTAAATTATATGGAAGATATTGACAATTTCATTAGATGGCTGGCCTTTTTAAGCAGTTGATGATCATAGAGCAACAGGTCAGGTTGGTTCAATGTTCGAGTGTATTCATACTGCAGGGAATTCAAATTTCACTCCATGATGGATGGTAAATTTGAAGGATGTCTATAAAATACAAAAAGTCTGTTTATTAAATAGACGTGGGTCTTTAGGTAGAAATTCTCTTTATGCGTGTGTCTCCATTTCTCTCTCTCTCCTCCTCCTCTTCCTCTTCTTAATTTCATATTAAAGATTATTCCCCTTAGGTGACCAACTCAAAAATTTTGATATAAAACTCAAACACAGTCCGAGTGATAAAATAACCACAACTATTTGCGAAAGCCAAGACAATACTGAACTTAGTCCAGCAGAAAATATAAAAGATTACAGATACTTTATTTGCCAGCCAAATTCCATTGGATCATATTTGGAAATTAGACAGGCTGAAAATAATACTGTATATTGATAATATGCGATATAAGAGTTTACGGAGATTATATCTGTAAAAGATATGTTTATTTATTAGTTAATAAATCAACACAAACGAAAATTTTTGATAAGGAATTTCAACTTTTCCTCAGGTAGTCCAAGATTTCAAACATATAAAATATTCTAAGATAGTGATAATACAACCCTGCAAAGTGGAAGATATTTATTGATGATTGTACATGATTGATAGTAAAAAACTACTGAAACTGATATTTTATCTCCCCTTTGTAAGATAAGATTTTTAATTCTAAATTTTCTATAAAATCATCATCATCATCAGCAGCAGCAGAACTTTAACAATAACAGAATACATAATAAACTAATTACCAAGTCAACATTAAATTAGTCATTAACATGGTATGAATAAATGTCAAACAAAAACAGTAGGTTATCAATAATTATAGATCAATATAATATGTTTTAACACTTTCTTGTTTGATCGATAAATTTCTCATTTATCTTTGGGATTTCATAAGCAATAAAAAGTATAAACATCTGGAATTCTTGTCAAGATGAGACAAAATGGCTAAAGTATTAGAGGTCTATCAATAATAATTTTAGTGTCAACTTCCGGTTTGAAAATTACCAATTGTTACTTAACTCTATTCATTTTTATGGAGGAATGAATTTAGATGGATGAGTTCATTCTTCAATTTCGCATATGCTAATGAGTGTTTTAGCATAAATATGAATAGTTAATAGTCTATTAGCTCTTTCTCCACAGTTGAAATGTAAATTATTCTCATCCTGTTTACAGACTAATATTCCTCCATTTTCCAATTTGCTGTATACAGTTACCATTAAGTTTTTATCCGAAGAGCTTACTATTTTAATGATTTTGTTTGAGTAATAACTCAAATAAATGGACGACTGGTCGAGTTTTAAGCATGTTTCTTTATTCCTGTCAACCAGAACGCCAATGTCCATAGAACATTTGGCTGTTAACAACAGCTTGATTTTGTTATGCATTTCATTGTGACACTTAAGGGGTTGTATTGTATGTTTTGCCCATTCTCCAGGATCATTTAGATCACCATACGAGGTTCTTATCAGTGGAAGTCTTTCAGATAAAACTGCCAGTTTCCCATTAAGATTGAAATTCTTATTATAATCTAAATTTCCAGACATGGGACAAGAGTTAGCCGCATTTGTTTCACAAGGTTGAGTTATTATGCATTTGCAAATGCCATCTTTTGCGCTGTTCAAAAGGTGGTTTGTCCCATCAAGGAATTGGAATGAATATGATTTGGGTGATGCTTCAACTGCTTGTAATGCCATTTCCTGCGAGCAATTCTTTGAAAATTGAATCAATTCTCTTAATTCTTCATAAGTTAGAGTTGAATAATTTATATTAATTATTTTTTTGGTTGATGACTTAAGCTTAACATTCTGTTGAACATCGTTACCGATTTCCATTTCAATAATATCTCCATTCAAGAACGAACATTTCACTTCAGCTATGTTGCCATTGGCGATAGGTTGAATATTATATGTTGATGTATTATAACTGTTGAAAAACAACGCCTCTAAACAGTCTCTGTAAATAGGCGTTGATAATCTACATCTTATTAAAAGACTACTTAGAAGAATGATAAGATTGTTGTTCATCCCAATTGCATTCACTCACCACAGTACAGAGTCCTTTGTTGAATAGAAAAATGGCATTTGTCTTACTTGTATTGAATATAATCAATAATTAAAATCATAGTGTTTATTAATTCATCAAGATTTACAGAAACGGAGCTAAATCAGTGAATGATCAATAATTAATAATTGCTTTTAATTTTGCAGTTTTACAGTCATTTCCCCTCAATCATTTTTGCCGAAAGTTTACTATTGTTGACAATTAGCAACAGTATATGATACTTTTCATATCAAGAACAAAAACTATATTCTCTGCATCTTCAACAATTTTAGATAATAAACACCTTGAACTAGGCCTAAGAAAAGATTCAAAGTTCCATCAATGTTTTCTGGACGATAGTATTCTGGACTTTATATTCATATAAACTGGTAGTGTTGGGTGATTGTTATTTACATCTCTTTAATGAAGAAAAATAAATCTTACATATTTATATTTTGAAATTGTGATAAGAAAAGTAGTGTTAACTTTCTTGAATAGTTTTAAATTTTGCAGTTTTCCTTTGCAGTGTTGTAGTTGAACTTAGAATTGGGCGAAATAGTGGTGTCATGCTTAATGGATATTTCTTTCTCTTCTCTCCAATAAGATTTTCATTGATTATTTGATTGAAAATCTATTATTAAGTAATAGAAATATTGTTAAATGTAATTAATGTATTCTCTCTCTCTCTCTCTAATATGAATGAAATGTTAATGACAAAACTTGCTGAAAAAACACTTTTCTTTTCCATAATAAAGCAAAAAAAAAGGAAATTTCAATACAAATTTGCAATTTTTTTGACTATTACAAATATTTTTAAAATCTTTAGTATTCTATGTGAACTTTTTGGAAATTTTCACACAATTGACAATAACTAATGAATTTTTTATCATCTTACATAGAACAGTATATTCAAATGGCATTGTATTATTCATATAGAATATTATGCAAAATGGAGGACAGACCATGACTGCAGATTGCATTGAAGCTCAAACTCATCAATACAATTAATAGACTATATCTTATTATAGCAACAGCTTGAAATAATTAATGAAAGCTTTTAGTTCCCCTTGCATCATTGTATATATTGTATTTTCATTTCCCCTATAATATAATACTTCTTGCAAACGTCTTGTAGAGGGAGCCACCATTCACCAAATATTATTAATATGAACCTTTTTTTCTGTCTAAATCTAATTAAAATGAATTTATTAATTGAATAGAGTGTTCAATTCATCAAGCAACTACAACAAAACATAATTGAATAAACACATCATCTTTACAGATGACTTTAAAAGTGAAAATAATAATAGAGAACAACATTTTGTGGATTCTAAACCCATCACAAATATTTGGCAAAAAACACTAAAGGAGTTAGAGACCAGACTAATAGTTAGGTTAAGAGTTTAGGTAATATTTATAAAGAAAATTCTCAAAGTTTCAAGTATAATTAACAATGCTAATCAATCACAGAAAATAGGACTAATTCGCACACTTTCATATCTTTGTCATATTCTATTATTGCAATTAAATTTTTTAATTGTCAAACCTCCAATTCTAATACGAAAAACTGATGAAATATCACATCTATCTGAATGGCAGTAATTAGAGTTTATTATAAGCAAAGCAGGTAAAATATTCAAAATCTTTAAATTCATAACGAGAGACAGAGTCAGAGAGAGATAAATCTCTCAATTAGAAATTTTGAAAATTACCCTGAAAATCTGGCTTTAATTGATGTGTCTAATCATTAAATGTGTATTGAACATCAACAAATAAATATTTAGTTGTTAATAAAGAATAGCTTTTTCTATAATTTTCATTTCATCGATATAAATTATAAAAATTACCAAAAATATCACTAATAACGCCCCTAAATAAAACACTAATTAAGCGATCTAGCAAATTAGTCATAGATAATCCATATACAGTGGTGAAAGAAATTTTTCATTTGATGGTCTATTTTTTTGTAAGGGCTATGTTGAAGGGTAATCAATGGCCTTCTTTTAAAAAAATATTGACTAAAATGTAGGAAATTTTGTCTAGTTTTATGAATAGTTTTCAGATACTCTCTACCTAGATGCTTCAAATGAAAATCGTGAGGATTTATATACTTTGAGGTTTGCCTCTGATATCCAATCATCACTTTACAGTTGCCGAAATGTGTAGTTCATATTTATCTTTAGTAACAAGATGTTACAAGGTTCAACATTTAGGAAGGTTAATTTGAATTATAACTTGGCCAAACCTTAACTGGTAATTAAAGATGAGCCTTCAAGCTGACTAATCAAACCTCTGTTTGGCCAATGTTATAGCATTTTCTTGCATAGGTTTTAAGAGGTACATGTATAAGTTGCATAAGATAATAGAGTTCAAGCATGTAAAATATAACCAAAGTTGTACAGTATAATTCCGTACGAAATTTTCCAGAATCTAACACTAGACAATGTTTGATCAATATTTGTTCAAATTATCAATAATAGTTTTTATATAATGATAAGTCAAATTCAAATAGCCAAAGGTTGACTGAAAAAGAAATTTGGTGAAAAATGATTAGGTCTAGGGAGGAAGAGAGGCAAGGAGCGACAGAGTAACTGTTCTTCCATATTTATATTTCTCAATCATTGTCTCTCAATCCTTCTTGTCTCTTGCTCAATTGGTCCCTGCTTCTTGATATCTGTCTCACACTTTCTTTGGTCATATCTTTCAAGAATGACCAAGTAATAATTAAGAAACTAACAAGAAATGTAAAAATAGGTCTTTGGCAGTTTTCAATCAGACCTCTGGCCGTTTGAAATCAAGACTCTGGCCGTTTTCTACCCGGGAAAGCAGCAATCTGGTTCAAAAACTGAAACAAATATTTTTGGAAATAACATAGAAAGTGACAACTAATTGTTGACATTTTAAACTTTTTGCTGCAAAAAGCTTTTACAATCCTAGCATTTTTATACTTTCCAATTAGCTTAACAATTCACAATTTCTTTAATGGTTCAATTAATTTATTGGCTCTAAATTCTAGCTTAAGAAATGGCTTGACAACGAAGTATGATTATTGTTCGTTACAATAACGTAGAATGCGTATTCTTTGTCATCACCTTCAAATCGAATTTCGGTGGAGTCACTTCCTGTGTAATACATTCCTATTGTTGGAGTCATATTTATAAAATTGAAAGAGTACGTTTTTGGTCATTATAAATATGATAATCTCACTTATTATACACTTTTGATAAACGGAAGTAATTATTTTTATCTTGATAATCAAGCACAACAAGATTGTCGTGGAAACCGAAAATCAACTGCTAACCTATCTAATTATAATCTCAGCAAATTCAACATTCAGGTGCAGGGTGTAGGAATAGAGAACGGGTGTAGAACCAACATGTTAATACCAACAATAGCATTATAAGGTGAAGGACGAATATTTGAGAGAAAGAGATATGTATGATACTTGTTCATACACTTGCAGTTGCAGTGGTAATTTTTGTCATTCCTTCTCCATAGTCTATGCAATTAATCTGGAATTTTGTATCAAAGAAATATTTGTATTTATACATATATCTAAAAGATTACATTAACATATTTTATTTACTTGTCCATTCACCTGACCTACTTGTCAATTTAGGACAAAACTTTTATCTTTTTCTATCTGTTGCAATACATCCTTTTAACACGTTTTTCCTAGATTTAGAAATTTAATTGAAAGAAACTGATAATGTTTTATGAAACTGTGTAGTCTACAGAGTGGCATAAAAACGCATAGATCGTTTAATAGTGGAGTTAACCCAGGGTTTAAAAGAATGAACAATTTTGAACAAGGTCAAGGGTTTAGTTAGGGTTAAGATAAAATCTGCAGAACTGTTAACAATTTTAACAACATTTAACCATTTATATTTTAAAAGTTCACCTTCAACAAAAAAGTGCTAAATTGAAAACTGGTAGTATGCTGGCTTCAACAAAATCAACCAAGTTAAAATAATTAATCCTCCATAAAAAATGTCAATAATTTTTTTTTGTGTTACTTTGGTGTTTTTTTCAAATGCCACAAAAGACTAATAAAAGTTTATAAAGTTGTTCAATTCAGTTGTAGCAACAATATGCTAATAGAATAACTTATTCTTTGGTGCTTTGCAGTAGAGATTCAATATGAATTTTCCTTCTTCATGTGATCAATTCTAGTTCTAGGTCTATTGATCAATTATGAATGAGGTGCACAAACAAACTAATGATTTTTTGAAATAGTAATGAATTTTACAAAAACACTAAATATTTTAAATCTAGAAAATTTTCCGGTAGAATTGGGTGCGTTTTATAGGTTAAAGAAGCCCTCTTCGATTCAGGACCGTACATATAAACCCAAGATTCATCTCTAGTAATGATTTTTCTCAAAGTCTTCTTTTTCTGCTGTCTACCTTTGGAGAGTTCAGAATAATAACTCATCCTCATCATCTTTTGATCCTCATTAAGATCATAGGGGATATATTTTGCACAAATTTTTCTGTAGCCCAGCTCCTTAATTATCTTCCCAAAGCCTCTTGACAATTATTTAATTTCTTGGCAATTGCTCTCTAAGATGTTGCCCAATCTTTCCCGATAAGCCTACCAATTATTTTAATCAACAAAATTCATTATTTTATTTCTATTTCCGGTGTAAAAGTCTAAATAAATTGGAAAAATATTTCACAAATTGTAGTCATAAGTTAATTTTTGTAGCTGTTAAGCTGCTCTTCTAGTTTTAGTAGTAAGTTTTGTTGATACCGCAATGGACAGAGTAAAATCTTCACATATTCCACGAATATTTCTATTTCCATCTTCATTCAACAAATAATAAGTAGGTATTTTGTATGTGTGCCCTTGGCTTCTATAACTGCTCTAAGCCTTGTGTCTATTGTCAGGTACAAAAGCTGAATTTCAAATAATGAAATTTTAAAAAAATTATCTTTGAACACCTGCCACAGGTCATCCTTATTTTTTGGCATAAAATTGGTGTTTTTATCCCACCAATCAACTCTTAGCAAC